AAAAAAAAAAAAAAAGGAGGAGGATTGGCAATAAATGTTAGCCCAGGGCCAATCTTCCTCGCCGAAAAATGATGGACAAGAACAAGTATTGGCAAGGATGTGGAGAAACTGGAACCCTCATACATTGCTAGTGGGTTTGTAAAATGGAGCAGCTGCTGTAGAAAACAGTTTTGCAGGTCCCAAAAAGTTATACACAGAGTTACCACATGACCCAGCAAATTTCATGCCTGGATATATACCCAAGAGACTTTAAGACATATGTCTATATAAAAACCTGTTCACGAATGTTGACAGCAACATTATTCATACTAGCCAAAAAGTAGAAACAATCCAAATGTCTGTCAATTGATCAATGGATAAACAAAACATGGCATATCCAGATAATGGGTCATAAAATGGAATGAAGTACTGATTCATGCTACAATATGGATGAACCTTGACAAATTACAGTAAGTAAAAGAAGCCACACACAAAAGGTCACATATTACATGAGTCTATTTATATGAAATGTCCAGAATAGAAAAATCTATGGAAATACAAAGTAGTTTAGTAGTTACCAAGACTTGGGGGGGGGGGAGAATGGAGAGTGACTACTAATGGGTACTGGGTTTCTTTTTGGCTGACGAAAATGTTCTGGAATTAGCTGGTGGTGATGGTTGTACAACTTTGTGAATATACTGAAAACCACTGATTTGTACACTTTAAAAGGGTAAATTTTATGGTATACAAATTATATCTCAATTTTTTTTAAAAAAAAGTACTGATACAAGCTACAAGATGGATGAACTTTCAAAACATTATGCTGAGTGAAAGAAGCCAAAATATAAAGGTCACACGTTGTATGATTCCATTTAAAGGAAATGTCCAGAATAGGCAAATCCATAGAAACAGAAAGTGGTTATCAGTGACCAGGGGTGGAGCGGGGTAAGCAGGTACGAGGAATGACTGCTAATATGTAGGGTTTTTTCCTTTTTTTGGAGTGATGAAAATGTTCTAAAATTATATAATGGTGATGGTTGCACATCTGTGTGAATATACTAAAAATCATTGAATTCTACACTTTAAAAGGGTGAATTTCATGGTGTGTGACATATATCTTAATAAAACCGTAATATAAATTTTTAAAAATTTAAGAATTTAATTGAAAATATGGGCCCTTTGAAGAATAATCTTAAAAAGAGCCTTGTATTGCCAATTAACAGCTTCAAGTTCAAATGATTTTAAATCTAAAAATAAAAATACTAAAAGATTTTTAGTATTAGGTTCTCTTACATTCATACTAATTATCTTAAAATAGAGAAAATGTGAAACTTTGCCTATGCTTAACAACAGTGTCCTTTTAACTCCTTCCCAAAGAGACAAATACATGACTTAAAAAAAAACGCCACCATCCAGTTAAAGTCTCTGAATACCACCATAAAGCATCTCAATTGCATAGTTCTGAGCTTTCAAGGTTAAAACCAATAAGAGTTCCACTGTCTCCTTTGACACTAGAAGTCAGAATGTCCTGATATGACTGCATACCCCCGTGCTAGTGAAAAGTGTGCTTATTATTAGCACATTAGATTACAACCTTGATGTTTACATTTTTCCATTAAAAATAAGAGATCCCCAAAGTCTCGGTATCTTTTAAGATGAACCATTCTACCGACCTTGCAGGGCTACGTGTGATTCAGCTTCAGAGGCCCAAGACATACAAATCTAAGACAAACTTCACGCAGACCCCTTCTTACTAAGCCCCGTCTAAGCTGCCTTTGCCAACCACTGCAAGTATGAAGTGGTTGCTGCCAAAGTCTCCCCATCACCAACCTCACTTTACCAGAAATGGCAAATAGTCTTAAAAAAAAAAGAAAAAAGTCTTAAAAAGTCTTCAAGTATTTTAGGCCAAGAACAAAAAGGTTAAAATCTCCCTGCAATTTTTCCCAAAATCAGAACTTCGACAAAAATAAAGACTTTGGGGATCGTGGCTCCTTCCATAATCCAATTTTCATGACAATTCTACCATATAAGCTAATTACTTTACACTAAGGGTAAAGCATTGGACCAAGAACAGTCTGAATGGCCCGTGAGACCTTAGACAACTGGCACCCCCAGGACAGGACTCAGTTTCCTTTTCTATGAAATCAGGCTAGACGAGATCTCTCAGGCAGGAGTTACCATACCTGGCCACACATAGAATCACCAGGAGAGCTTCATAAAGAGAGAACAACTCCAGAAATGTTATTCAGAAAGTATTTTTTTAAAAGATCCCCCAGGAGATTTCTATGATCAGCTAGGTTTGGGAATCACTCCTAAGATCTCTTCAAGCTCCAAAATTACGGTTCTGGAACCGTAACTGTCCAATACAGTAGCCACTGGCCATGTTTCAAGCCACAGGCATTGGACAGTATATCGAACATCTGCATCATCGCAGAAAGTCCTATCAGACAGCATTGTTTTGGAAAGTCAGTTAAAGACTTCCCCAAACACACATCACTCTTCTCTATTCCGTCCTTGCTCTGATTTTATTTTACCATTTCTTCAATAACTGCTGCTCTCCGGTCCTCAGATATGTTAGCCCACGAGAAAAACAGACTAAGATCAAGCAGAGCTTTCCCTTGTTTCTCTGAAGAAACTAAGAAGAAGAGAAAAAACTCTCGATTCTTCCACATGCATCTTTTCCCCTCCCTCTTGCCATACACACACACAACAAACATACATAACAAAAATGAAAAAGCCAGGTTAGTCTCTTGTGGAGTCAGCAGCTGTGCTGAGCGGGGTGGATCCTGGTCTCAAATCTCTGCCTCTAATCCAGGGCTTCTCAACAGCAGCACTGCTGACACTTTCCTCTGGATGATTCCTTATTGTGGGGTCTCTCCGGTGCGCTGTTGGATGCTCAGCAGCATCCTGGCCTCTACCCACTAGGTGCTCGCAGTACCTGCCCCCCAGTTGTGACAACCAAAAACTTCTCCAGACATTGACAACTATGCCCTGGGGGGAAAAATCGCCTTCACTCATCTCCTTTAACAAACTGCTCCTCACATCCTAGCTCCTTCATCTTAATTCCTCTCCTCACCCTCTCTTCTTCCTTAGCCTCTGTTATAGAAGAAAAATAAGGAATTTTTAGTAAGCAAATCATGTTATTAAACAAAACAAGCAAAGACTTCCCAAGCAGACTCCGAAACTTGCCTCTCTTCTTTTATACAAAAATGTTTCGGGTAAATTAAGCAGATTCTGCTAGATTCTCCCACTTTGGCTCCTAGTATAAGATAAAGAAAAGCAACCACCAAAAACAAAAGTTTCTCATTATAAGATATAGAGGGGTATAACCCAGAAGGAGATCAAGGTTTTGGTCCAAAGCTTACTCATCTTGGGGTCCCTCTTTAAGAAAAAGAACACAAAATTACCCGCACAATATTGGATATAAAAGTGAATACCTAGAATGAGAAAAGAAATCATAATCCATTACAAATTTTTTTAAATGGACAAACACGGTGGTGAACACACCCTCAGGTGACCCTCAGTGAGTCATGCATTTGTATGATGCCCTCCCCTCGAATGCAGAGGAAACCGTGACTGGTTCTAACCAACAGAACACGGCAGCGGTGATGATTACCCTACAATTACACTTCCTTATAGAAGAATCTGTCTTAGCTAACCAGGGAGACCTTCCTGCTGGCTTTGAAGAAGCAAGCTGCCATGGTATGAACCACCTATGGAAAGGGCCAATAGCAGGGACCTGTGCGCGACCTCTAGGGGCTGCGGGCCTCCATCCCACATTGCAAGGAACTCGGCCAGCAACCAGAGAGCTTGCAAGAGGCCCCAAGCCCCAGTTGAGCTCACAGCCACAGTCAATACCCGACTGCAGCCTTGCGAGACCCTGAGCAGGAGCCAGCTAGCTGTGCCAGACTCCTGATGCCTGGAAACCGCAGAGGACAAATGAGCGTTGTTTTAAGCTGCTAAATTTATAGTAATTTGTCATACAGCAATAGAAAACTAATACAAATAACCATTTTACATCACAAAATCCAGCAAAATAACATATTTTTACTGACCAACCGCCTGGCGTTACCTCTGGAATACCTTCCTACTTTTGTTTGTTTGCTGTATACTCTTTGATTATCTTGTGATATGCCAAATGATTCTGAAATACTTCCTATAAAGAATAAAAAAGTAATTGTCTCTTTTCAAGCATAGTTGATCCAAATTTCTATTGACAGAAAGGTTTTTCCACTTCAAAACTTCTTGACATCACTAGTAATGAAAGTTTTAGGACTATTCTCAAATTTAGGAAACCTCTATTGAGCTTCCCTGTAAGAAGCTGTAAGATCTAGAAGAACTTTCTAGATCAGTCTATAGCTCCATAAGTTTTAACCCTTGTTTCTCCTCCACTGCCACATACTTTCAGTGCCAGGTGCCATAGGACACGTTCATACCAGAATACACCCCTGACCCTGCACCTCACATCACAGTGCCAGGTGAGTCCACACAATGGGCAGTGGGAATATTCCTGGAAGCCATTCCTATACTAGGACAGCTAGTAATAACTTAACCATACGCCAAGGGGACTCCCAACCACATAAATGTATACCACTAATCCCCAGATAAACATATCCTTAATTCAACTTCCCTCAGCTAGATCCCGAAAATGCCCATGACCACTCCAACACCACCCCACACGAGAAGAAGCTGGACTGAGGGAAAGTCTAGTGCAAGGAGACAATGATCTTAACCAATTGTGGTTACGATATCTTTCTCTCGCAAATTTTGTAAAGCACATGCCCACGTGCATGCGATGCAAGTGAGAGGCCCTGCAGTTGAAGCTCCGGTCTGAACACTCTGGCAGCAATGGCCGCACCAGCAAACGGCCATCAAGGAATCAAGACAGCGCTGTCACACTGGACTCAGCACCGTTACACTATGCACATGAAGTGATGTAAATTTTGGGCAAGGATGGTGCAAGCTTTACCTTGCTGCACGGGAAAGAACCATATGTCTATCACTTGAGAAAAGACTAAGTCTTATGACAACTTAGCGCTCCCTCTCAATATCTCCCACAATTGACTGTCACAAAGCTAACTATCTGACCTGTTCTCTAGAAATACCTGTACAAAGGTCCCTCCCTTGCTCCTGTCAGAAAGAAAGTTCAAAGTATGAGAAAGCTCAAAGCTCACAGTCATGTATCGCTTAACAATGGGGATATGTCCTGAGAAATGCATCATTAGGCAATTTTATCATCGTGCAAACTTCACAGAGTGCACTTACACACAAACCTACATGGTAGAGCCTACTACACTCCTAGGCTATATGGTACTAATCTTATGGGACCACCGTCCTATATGCAGTCCCTTGTTAACAGAAATGTCGTTACACAGCGCATGACTGTTTAACAATGGAGATAATGCAAGCAGGGACACCTCATGTGCCTGCCAGAGTTGAAATTACTTATTGAAAATCAGCAATCCAAATCTTATGCTGGTTACACCCCTATAAAGCTATTCAGAAACCACCTTAACAAAAATTTGTCCCATGATCCTCTGTGCACATGGGGGAATAGGCACATGAACACAGCTGGAGAAGGGACATTGCTACTGCAGACTCGATGCTGAAGGCAGCCGTGCCTGGGTGTCTTACCTCATCGTACATGAACTGAAGCGTCAGGGCCGACTTGCCAACCCCTCCACTGCCGACCATGATCACCTTGTGCAGGGCCAAGGAGCTCTGGCTCTTACTCTTGTTTGCAGCCATCCTGCTGGTTTTCTGAGGTTGTGACCCACGGACAGAAGACCCAGGTGAAGAGCTGCCGATGAAAAAGACACATTTAGAGGCAGTGTGGTTTCTACCCAAATGAAATTCACATGCTCCAGAAAAGCCTAACCCAGATATTCCAACAGCGAAGTAATGCTTCTAGGCTCCAGGCAGAGATACAAGTCCTCCAACAACTCCAGAAGTCACTGACCACAGCAGAGCCAGAGCGAAGGCAAGACGAGCGAGAAGAAATGGAGACAGGCATCCAACGCCCCGGACTGTCCTGGAGGACAACTCCCACTAAAAATCGACACCTCCTCAACAGCGCTTCACTGAGGCAGAGTGACCCAAGAGCTCTGAGTCCCAGCCTCCTACTGTCACCCCACGCCACCCGGTGCCACAGAGAACACCAGAGCTCAGGGACCTCCATCTCCACCTCCCTATTCTCACTCCTCTCCTCCCCTGTACATCTACCTCCCAACACACACACAGCCCTCCACGCGGACTACGGAGGTGATCTGAAAAGAGAGAAGTAAATGTGTTCTTTATAATAAGTACCCCTTCATGACATATGACAGCGTTAAAAGAAGGAGAAGTAAATTATTTACTCCAAGTGTATTTAAAGTGATGAAGTAAAATGAGTTAAACTTTTCTAAAATAACAAAATCAGTTTAACGTCATCAGAAGTGAGATAAAATGAGTAGAGCGCCCCTGGAATTGTGAGTTGATAAAGTATTCCGAATAAGTAAATTTAACAGATACCTGGAACTTATTCTAACCCAACTGCCAATTTTTATTTTAACCAATTTGTATGGAAAAATCTATTTCACACATGCCAGAGTAAGGAAAAAGGAGGGGGCAAGGCTGCCTTGTGGGCCTGAGTCTGGCTCTGCCCTTTGTGAGTCATGTGACCTAGAACCAGCTAGTCAATTTCTCCAAGCCAGTTTTCCTATCTGCACGAACAAGTAAACCACCTACCTTGCAGGATTTTTCTGAGGACTCAATGCGATAGCATGTGTGAAAGATCTAAGCACAGGGCCTGGCACACAGTAGGAACTTGATAAAGGTCAGTTTCCTTCCTATCAAATTTTAAGAGGATTTTTTTTTTCCAACGACAACTTGACAGGCTCCTATTTCCAATACTGCTGACAAAGTAACTTGAAAACACCCCCAGGAGAAAAATAAATAAATACACACAACACACACACAAATCACTGGGGAAAATAAAACAACACTGTCCTAAACCAGTGGTTCCTGTCGTTGGCTGCACAATGGAATCACCTGGGGAGCTTTACAAACATCCTGATGCCTGGGCCCCACCCCAGAGACTCTGATGGAATTGGGTTGGGGATGCAGCCTGGGCACGGGCTAGGCTTCTAAAGCTTCCCAGGTGCTTACAGTGTACATCCAAGGTGGACGCAAAGCTGAGCTCAAAAGAAGGCGAGAAATCCCCACGCTAGGGTGGAAAAAACCAGGGCAGTAAGAGCTGTCATTCCTGCAGTTCTGGACGGCTGCTGTTCTTGGTAACTTAGGATTTAACAAACACACAGGGCTAGGAGAACAGACGCCCAAGCCAAGTGGGAGTTAGAACTGGGGCCTCTTCCCAATTGAGAATTGAGAAGCCAAGACCCTTGGAGGAGCACACCTTCAGGTAAAGAATGGACTAGAAAATATGTGTCCACCAACAGAGGACGATGACAAGGAAGCTTGTCTGCCTGCGCCCTGGCTGTAGGGAAGTGTATCTTGAAAATCTGTAACCACGGCACTCTTCCAAAGCCAAGAAATTAACATTGAAAGGAGTCCCCAGCCAGTCACAGCGAGGCAGAGCACTAAACACAATCTCTCTGGGGACAACATGCAGTTTAGACTGCTCAGGACTCCCACAGCTAAAGCCCACAGACAAGAGCTCACAGCTCCAACCTACGAAACACCTAAGAAAATCATCATATGCGAGAGTCAGCATCCATTACACGCAGGGCTTTTCAGACAGCTATTATAAAAAGTATTAGTTGATCATTTTTAAAAACAAAATCAAAATGTGAGAAAAATGACATCAAAAGATCGGGAGTTGAACAAGAATGACCCTGTGAATGTTTAAAATATTTTTTTAATTATTTAAAATGAAAAGTAATAAAACTGTAGGGGAGGGAAAACTACTGTTTTTTCTCTACCCATCTTTGGTTCATTGGCTGGGGCCCTAAAAATAAGACTGAAAAAGAAAGATGAAGAAAAGAAAAACAACAGAAGCTTATTAACGAGTGCATCTCACATACACACAGAACTCAGTGATGAATAACTCAAAGCGGGTGGTTAGAACTTGGGCTTATATAGCTTCTTAACAAAAGAACAATAAATTTTGTAGAGAAGTGACAAGACAAAGGAAAGGGACTTTGAGCTTCTCGGGCAGCACATTGTCAGAAGGTAAATTTATGGAACTAATGGAAGATAAGGGTTGTTTTAGCAAGATCTGCTGTTTGGATTCCTTTGGTTCCCTGGGCTGACAAGTGTCTGGCGTTGTCTCCAGTGATCAAGAACCGTCCTGCCCTTCCTGGTATAGAAGGGAGGGCAGAGAGTTTTTCTTGTGTCTGCTTTTTCTCAATTGCCTTCAGCTCAAAATAGTCCTTATGTCAGAGTGGCATATTTTGGGGCGGCATACTCTGAACCCTTTCAATGCTCAATAGAAAATTTAGCAAATACACAAAAACTGTCTTTAAAATAGAAAAAAAAAAATCACCTATGATCCTACCACCCAGAGATGTTCACTATTAACAGTGTATTTCCAGCCAGTATTTTAATCTATATATTCCTATATTTAAAACCTATTTGAGATATTTATGTAGTTTTGCATGTTATTTTTCACATATTATACCTATCTGTCTTCTTAAACAGAGTAGACTGAACATAATTAAACCTTTTCTTGATGATTTAAGGATCATCACCACCACGGAGATCAGTGATACGAACAGCCTTGGGCTGCTGAGTGGACGGACTGCTGTCTCTGCCTGCTCTCCCCCTCTACACTGGACCATCAGTTTACGTGCCTATGCCAAGCTTTCTTTCCACTCCCCCTTCTCTAATTATGTGCTTTTTAATAAGTGTTCTAAGCAATTAACTAGGTAATTAAGCACATTTGAATTGTGACTAAAATAGAAGAAATGGGATAAGGAGCGGGCCTCCCCAGAAGGCTTCAGTTTAGGAAGGTGAAAATGCTTTCGGCCTAATTTCTGGTCCACACTGTTTCCCATAGAGCTGAGGTTTGCGCATGAGGTTGAAACCTCCAGACCATCAATCTGTCACGCAATTCCCCTGAGGCAGCCTTGCTTCTATGAATTATTATAGTTGTATGAAAATGGAGAAATAATTTTCCAGGGCGGGGGAGCTTTCAAACACATGTAGAAATATCTAATTCCGAGCTATTATTTTCAAAAAACAAAGTCAATTTCTCTAGAAGAAACCATAATAAATAAATTGGAAGACTATTCAACAAACCCACAGATATTTTGCTTAAATATCTATGCTCAAAGCTCAAAAACTGAAATAACCATGGTGGATATTTCCAATCCACATAACTGCTTCCATCAACTCGACTGGATGAAGGGAAAGACAGGGGAAAGGCAGAAGGGCCAGCCAAGTGCTCACCCCCGAACCACTCCCGGAAACTGGAAATGCCGACCTCCAGAATCCTGTTATTGGAGAAAATAAACCCCTACTTGTTTAAGCCACTGTTACTCTATTTATTGTTGTTGTTTTTACTTGTACTGAAAGCAACATAAGAACTGAGATTTGAAGGAGTTGACTAGTTAAAGAGAGGAGGAGAAATATCAGGAAGGAAAAAAAAACAGCAAGGCTTAGGAAGTTGGTGTTGATGATTTAACGTTTATAATAGATATGCCTAGCCAATAAATGTGTTCTTCAAAAATAACATATATAACAATAAATTTGTTCTTAAAAAAAAGTTTTCCTCAACATTTTATTATGAAGAGTTTTAAACTTTCAGAAAAGTAGAAAGAACTGCACAGTGAACCCACACACCCACCACCTGGATTCTACAGTTAGCATGTTGCTGCATTTGCTTTATCACAAACCCAGTCATCTGGCATTCCTCTACCTACCCATCAAGCCATCTTATTTTTTGATGCATTTCCATGTAAGCTGTAGACATCCATATATTCATTCTTAACTTCAGCATAGACATCCATTTTTTACAAAGCAATTATACCTCCCCCACTGCCTTTGCTAACAATTTCAGAACTCGCTCTAAAGGTCTTGCAAACCTCCTAATCTCTTCAATGACCTATTGGGTTCACAGCCAACACATGAAAGCCACAACACAGACCTTCCAACAAGGGGAATTTGGGCCCATAACACCAAGTCCTGGCATGGCTCTCTCCTCAGAGTCAGAAGCCTTTTACATGGGACTTGAGAAACACACCAACAGACGTCTCTACCTACTGACAGGCACGCTCTGTAGTTTCATTTTTGAAACTAAAACATTTAAGCACTACTTTGTGCCAAACTAAGGTCTCTGCCCTTAGGAAACTCAGTCTCCTAACGAAAGATATATAAATCAAGCATTTTAAGACAATTTGTCACATGCTATGATCCAGATGGCACAAGGTATAATGGAAAGCATAATGAACCTTGGGAAAAGAGAATCAGGAAAGGCTTCCAAGTTGAATAAGAGTTCACTCAGCAGATGGGGGTGAGAGAGGGGAGCTTTCCTGCATAACAGAGAGCACGAGCAAAGCAACAAAGGCGTGAAACATCACAGTGGGTCCAGGTACCACATGATATTGAAGCAAAACGTATGGGTGGGGAAATGACTGGGTGATGTGTCCCAAAAGACAGACATGTTCATCTACAAATGGGCCTAAAATGCCATCTCAAGAAACTTACCCTAGAGAAAATGGGGAGCCACTGCAGGGTGAGTCCTCCAGCCCAACTTAGCATATAAAGCATTGGACCAACAAGAATAAACATACCCTCTAGTACAGAAAAACAAGACACTCCAAACTGAGAAAGCTTCATTTAGATGGCATGGCAGGGAGGCAG